GTCTTGTCGTGAAGAATACATATATGAAGTACAAAAGTCCTGGTATCTACTGTTCAAAAGATATGGCCAAAGTAAAAGTTTGGAATTTTTGTTAAAGTGGGTCAAACTCCAAGGTCAAATTTGGTGGTACCCAAAGAAAAGTCTGTGAAACATGTGAGACAAGAAAGTCATAGCTCCACTAAATTTAAAAGTTATGGGCAAGGTTAAAGTTTATGCAGATAAACAGAGAGACAGATGGACGGACGGACATGACAACAAGAGACCCAGTGGCCACATCGCTTACCTGAGCAACTGGTTAGGTAAGAGCAAAAATTAGTTCAGTATTGAAAAGTTTACATATATTATAAAAGTGGGTTCTGGGGAGTGGGATATTTAAACAAACTTAAATCTAACTTTCTTAGAATGCTTTGGTGACACATTATGGTTTTGTTGTTTATAGGATGACAAGTTTATTGATATAGACTTTGTTTTACTGTGTCCACTTTATGGTTCCTCCGAGTATTCTCCTGAATTTCAAATCCAAATTACCCTTTTCATGCTTTTAAATTGATGATCAATCGTCATGATGGCTTTTTGAAAAATTTTATCGATTTTTGCCATGCATTCCTATGTAAAAAAACAAACATGATCACCCTTTGTAGCCATACCCTTGCCAAAGGGGTCATAATTTGAACAAACTTAAAACTACACTTCACGAGGATGCTTCCATATACTAGTAACTATGACCAATAATGGCTTTACTGTTCTTGAGAAGATTTTTGCTAAGTTTTCTCTTGTTTAACTTTGATCTCTCATTTTGCCCCATTCACTAAGGTTCATAAGTTAAACAAACTTGAATCTACATTGCCAGAGGATGCTTCCATATAACTTTGACCAATCACGACTTTGCAGTTCTTGAGAAAAAAATTTTTAAAAGATTTTTCCTATGTATTCCTTTATTAATTTTGATACCCAATCTTGGCCCCATTCTACTCCTGGAGGTCATCATTGGAATAAAATTAAATTTTTCCTTTCAGATGATGCTTCTGAATGAGTTTCATGTTTCCGGTAATTCTTAAGAAGATTTTTAAAGATTCTTCCTATGTGTTTCTATGTTAAACTTTGAAACCCCTTTGTGGCCCCACCCTATCCCTAGGGGTCATGATTTGAATAAATTTGAATTTTCGCTACCTGAGGATGATTCCAAATGAGTTTCATCTTTCATGGCCCAGTGGTTCTGGAGAAGATTTTTAAAAAGATTTTTCATATGTGCTTCTATGTTAAACTTTGATACCCCATTGTGGCTCCACCCTACCCTCAGGGGTCATGATTTGAACAAATTTGGATCTACGCTTCCTAAGGATGATTTCATATGAGCTTCATATTTCCTGGCTCAGTGGTTCAGGAGAAGATGATTTTTTAAAGATGTTCCCCCTGCGTTTCTATGTTAAAATTTGATACCCCATTGTGGCCCTACCCTTCCCCCGGGGTCATGATTTGAACAAACTTGAATCTTCGCTACCTGAGGATAATTCTACATGAGTTTCATTTCCTGGCCCTGTGGTTCTTGAAAAGAAGATTTTTATAAGAAACCACTACTTCATAATTATCTCCCTTTGAAAGAGAGTGTGGCCGTTCTTTTAAGCAAACTTGAATCCCGTTCACCTAAAGAATACATTTTTTAGTAAGTTTGGTTGAAATTGGTCCAATGGTTCTTGTGAAGAAGGTGAAAATATGAAAAAAAAATACGACAACTACAGACAACGGACACATTTTGATCAGAAAAGCTCATTTGAGCATTTAGCTCAGGTGAGCTAAAAACTATATACCCCGAAACTTCGTTTACAGGGGCATAAAAATAATTATTATTGAAGGAAGAATTTCACACTTACTTATAACATTAACATATTTAGCACAAGTATGTGGTATATACTATTGGAATCTATCATCAAAATAAATCAGTTTCTTTGTTTATATTTAAATGCTTCTAACGTGAACTATGTTTTGTTCAATTGCTCATTTAGACAACAAAGATCCTGACCCTTATTTAACATGTACTAAACCAAGTTATTGGATGCCATAATTCTGAATTTATATCGTACATGTAAATTACAATTAAAATAAAATTGGCTTTAGAAATTTGTTAGCATTATTTTTTTTTTATCAAACTGCAAAGTGTAACAGATGCTTTGGTTATTTGAATGTAAAATTCTAAGTCACTAAAAGCGTGCAACGTTTGATGAAAGTTGAAATTCAAAAGCATACTATTAACTATCAAAAGACAAACATGACGAATATTCATATGCATGATGCAGAATTTTAGATCGAGAAGAATTTTTCCCCACAGAGGCAATAGATCAATCAATAATTTAAAACTTTGAAACAAATTAAAATCATGATTTTTGAACTCATTTTTCATATCATTCAAATTTCAAAATATTTTTTTCTTTATGAAAATTACCTCTTAAAATAACTAACTACAACTTTTTAAAAATCAAAAATGCGTTAATATCTAACATCAACGCAAGAAAAATAACTATGATATCAATGACAATCTGTATTTTAACCTGAATCGAATCAGGTGATAACAGGGTCTGCCATTTCACAATTTCTGGATTTATACCTTGATATACAAGAGGCCCATGGGCCTTATAGGTCACCTGAGTATCATGCGACAACTTTCCAACAATTGAATTTTATTCATATTTAAACTAGAGGCCATGAAATTCACAATTTTGAAAGAGGCACCATTGCTTATCATAATTATACACTCAGCATGCTTATTTTGGTTACTTAATACCCAGAGGTAGATCAGAGTAAAAAAGAGAAAATGCATTTCCACTTTTAGTGAATTTCAGGGCCCCTGGGTCAGGGCTTCTTGTGTTAGGGCGGGTCCACAGTTGAGCTCCCCACCCCACAGGAACCACTGACCCTGGGGCCAAATCTCTCAAAATTTTGAAAATTTTTCAAAATTTAATTTCATCATGCTGTTGATTAATACCAAAGTGCAGATTTTTAAAGTGTTAAATTATTTCAAACTATGTTAACCCCCCCCCAAGTCCCAGGGGCCAGGAAATTAACCATTTATGGAAGAAGCAGGTTTTTTGTCATAAATATATACTAAGATCATTGGCATTATACCAAACAACAAAGGAAGAGATTTTCAAAGAATTCATGCATTTTCACTATATAAACATTAGAGCCCCGCCCCTTTCACAAGAAGCCCTAACCCAGGGACCCTGAAATTCAAAAATCTCAATGAGGCATCCTTCCTCCTCATAACTATGAACATAGTTCATTGGTTAAATCCTCAGGTGCAGAAAATAAGAGTTTTAAAGAATTTATACATTTTCACTTTATAATCAATAAAGCCCCGCCCTTATAACACCAGAACCCCAATCCAGGGGCCATGAAATTCAGAATTTTGAAAGAGGTAGCCTTCTTCAACATAACTATGAATTGGTTAGTTTATTTAATACTCAGGAGCAAAGAAGAAAAGTTTCAAAGAAATAATTCATCTTTTACTGTATAATCTATATAGCCCCACCCTAGCACTAGAACCCCTGACCCTTGGCCCATGAAATTCACAATTTTGAAGGAGATAGGCAGCTTTATTCAACATAGCTATACACTTTGTTAGTTTATTTAATGCCCATAAACAGAGAAGAAGAATTTCAAAGAAGTTTCGCATTTTCACTATATAATCTACATGTATATAGCCCCGCACTAGCACTAGAACCCCTGACCCTGGGGCCATTAAATTCACAATTTGAGAAGAGGCAGTCTTATTCAACATAACTATGCATTGGTTGGTTTATTTAATGCCCACAATCAGAAAAGAAAAATTTCAATGAATTTATGCATTTTCACTGTATAATCTATATAGCCCCGCCATAGCACTAGAACCCCTGACCCTGGGGCCATGAAATTCACAAAAACGCAGTCATTTTCAACATACACTTGATTAGTTTATTTAATGCCCAGGAGCAGAAAAGAAGAATTTCAAAGAAATAATGCATTTTCACTATAACCTGTTTAGCCCCGCACTATGCATTGGTTAGTTTATTTAATGCCCACAATCAGAAAAGAAAAATTTCAAAGGAGTTTTGCATTTTCATTATATAATCTATATGGCCCCGCACTAGCACTAGAAACTCTGACCCTGGGACCATGAATTTCACAATTTTGGTAGAGGACTCAATGCTGATTACAAACATACCAACAGTTTGACTGCTTTATTTCTTTGAGTGAGGATTCCTAACTTTCAGACACGGAAGCCCTGTCCGTGTCTTGGACATGCAGAACCCGTGTGGCTTTTTAAAAAACCGTGCGGATTCCGTGTCTTAGCCGTGCCCAAGCCGTGCCTATTCCGCCTCAAACTTTCGTACGGGTATTGCCACTGATATAGAAACTCAGATTGCTAATCTAGATGGAGAATATGAAAAACTTTCAACAGCAGTAACAAAACATGGAGAAGAATGGCACAAAGAAATTGACAACATAGTCAACAAAATGAAGACAGAAACTGAAGAAGTAAAAAATAAACATGTACGCATTCTGAAGAAACATTTAGATGAAATTAAACAGATTATATATCAAATTTTGCTTCAGTTAAATAGAATAGATGAATCAAATGAGGTGTTTGTGACTTTGGAATACAGTTCTTAAAACTCAAAAGAATTAAGCAAACTTCCTCCTAAAGTTAAGATATCACTGTGTTGAGTCCAATGTCAAAAGATACAAAATCTTTTTACATCTTTTTACATTGTTTGGATCTTTAACAGAATTACCCATCAAAACAGAAAAAAATGGCTACAAACTGAAGAAACCAGAAACATTAACCACAAAAATGATGAAAGAACCAGATCTTATCACAACTATAGATACTGGGTATGATAAACTCCGCTCTGTTACCTGTCTCAGTGAGGAAGAAATCTGGACAAGTGGAAAAGTCAGAGAAAAGCTTTAACATTCAAGGTTCACTCATAAAGACAATCAAAATAAATTCGATTTTCGCGCCAATTGACATAGCAGTGACAGGTGATGGGGATCTAGTGTACTCTGATGGGACAACAAGGACTGTGAATAAAGTGAAGAATGGACAGACAGAGGAGATGATCAGACTACAGGGCTGGATACCTACACTACTCTGTGTCACTTCCTCTGGTGATCTCCTGGTTACCATGTACACTGAGTCTGATGTTGAAAGACAAAATTGTCCGTTACTTACGCTCCACAGAGAAACAAACATTCCAGTTTGATGAGCAGGGTAAACCTTTGTATTCAGGAAATGACAAAATTAAATACATCAGTGATAACAGAAACCTAGATATCTGTGTGGCTGACAATGAAGCCGGTGCTGTAGTGGTAGTCAATCAGGCTGGAAAACTCCGATTTAGATACACTGGTCATCCGTCCACTATAAACAACAAACAATTTAAACCTTATGGCATCACAACAGACAGCCGGAGTAAGATTCTGACAGCAGACCTTGATAACCAGTGTATCCACATCCTAGACCAGGACGGACAGTTTCTCCGTTATATAGATAACTGTGATCTGAAGGATCCATAGGGTTAATGTGTGGACAAAAATAACTGTTTGTTGCGGAGTAGAGAGGAATGATTAAGAAAATTAAATATCTTGGATAGTTTTATCTATTTTGGTATATATATTGTGTTCAAAGATATACCTGTATGTTCATTACAAAAAAGTTATTAAACAGTTAAAATGCATTTCATACTCTTGAAAACATGTACCACATATTTCAATATACATATCTAAGAATACTTGGGAAAAATAATTATTATCATGGTGAAACAAGACTATTCGTGCTAGTGGAAAAAAGTTAAATACCTCCAAAGAAACGTACAAAAAGGATGATTAGATCATAGAGGAAAGAAAATGACACTTTCTGATCTGTCCAATAAATTTTCCATCGTTGTCAAAACTGTACACTGGTTCTGCTAAAGAAAAGGCTGGATATTCTCTATATACTACAAAATCAGAAACTGTGGAGTTTATGGAGCAGAATGAAAATATATTATGCCAAAAACTAGGCAAAAAAAAACATAAACTGTATCATAAAAAGCACGATCTTGGATAATTGTAACAAATTAAATACTAGAATTTAAAGTTAATGCACCTCATCAATAGATAAGCTATGCATGTGTTTCAGTTCCTTGATGGATTGATTTTTTATTGTTTAACATCCCTTTGGAGAATTTTTCACACATATGTAGACACCACCACTTGCCGGTGGAGAGCTGCAAAGAACTACGAACGAAAGTATTGTTCTCCCGCCTACCTCTAAGTCAATTCTAACAAGAGGCCCATGGGCCATATCGCTCACCTGAGCACTGTGGCTAGGGAAAGGTAGAAATTGGTTTATTATTGTAAAGTTTAAATCCAAAAGTAGTCTCATGACCAATCATGGATTTGCTAATTTAAAGAATTTTCCTATATATTTCTAGGTAAAACTTTGCTTGGACATTTTGGCCCCGCCCTATCCCCGGGCGTCATGATTTGAACAAACTTGAATCTAGACTACCTGAGGATGCTTCCATATAAATATGATGAATTATGGCTTTACTCTTCTTGAGAAGAAGATTTTTAAAGAATTTTCCTATATATTTCTATGTAAAACTTTGGGACATTTTGGCCCCGCCCTAACCCCGGGGGTCTTGATTTGAACAAACTTGAATCTACACTACCTGAGCATGATCCCATATAAATATGATGAATTATGGCTTTGCTATTCTTAAGAAGAAGATTTTTAAAGAATTTTCCTATATATTTCTATGTAAAACTTTGGTTGGCCATTTTGGCCCCGCCCTACCCCCCGAGGGTCATGATTTGAACAAACTTGAATCTACACTACCTGAACAGGCTTCCATATAAATATGATGAATTATGGCTTTGTCATTCTTGAGAAGAAGATTTTTAAAGAATTTTCCTATATATTTTTATGTAAAACTTTGGACGGCCATTTTGGCCCCGCCTTACCCCCGAGGGTCATGATTTGAACAAACTTGAATCTACACTACCTGAGCATGCTTCCATTTAAATATGATGAATTATAGGTTTGCTATTCTTGAGAAGAAGATTTTTAAAGAATTTTCCTATATATTTCTAGGTAAAACTTTGGTCGGCCATTTTGGCCCCACCCTACCCCCTGGGGTCATGATTTGAACAAACTTGAATCTACACTATCTGAGGATGCTTCCATATAAATATGATGAATTATGGCTTTGTCATTCTTGAGAAGAAAATTTTTTTTAAGAAATTTCCTATATATTTCTATGTAAAACTTTGGTCGGCCATTTTGGCACCGCCCTAGCCCCGGGGGTCATGATTTGAACAAACTTGAATCTACATTACCTGAGCATGTTTCCCCATAAGTTTCATCTTTCCAGGCACAGTGGTACTTGAGAAGAAGAGTTTTAAAATGTGCCACCAAATTTTCATTAATTACCAATTATCTCCCCTTGAATAAGGGCGTGGCCCTTCATTTGAACAAACTTGAATCCCCTTCACCCAAGGATGCTTTGTGGGAAGTTTGGTTGAAATTGGCCCAGCGGTTCTTGAGAAGAAGTCGAAAATGTGAAAAGTTTACAGACAGACAGACGGACGCCGGACAAAATGTGATCAGAAAAGCTCACTTGAGCCTTCGGCTCAGGTGAGCTAAAGAGTTAACATATTAGAATGATTTTCAAAATTTGTATAGATAATTATATGAATTTTCATAAAACGTTACTTATTTGGGATATCAAAGAGAGATAACTCTAAAATTTTGGTAAAACTTGTTTTTCACTATAGAAATCAACGGAAAAAGGAAAATATTTTTAAAACACCCCCCCCCCCCCCCGTGAAACAAAAAATCATTTTTACAGATAATATGGACTGTCATTTTACAAATTTGTGCCAAAGATTTTTGTGTTTTTTTGGGGGGGACATATGTTTTTATTTTTGTAGACAAAAAACGAAAAAAATGCTGATTTTTCACCAATTTTAAAGCTATTTACAATTAAATAATTGTATTTTATTCATTATTATATGTTTTATTTATTTGCATAAAACATAAGAAAAGATATGAGATACATTTTATCATATTTAAAACTATTTCAAAATAGGGTGATCCTTGAAAGTTCGATTTCACCAGAAAATATCGTCTACCCTCCTTTTTTCAAGAGCTGGAATTAATGATAATTTACTATCTAGCGCTGGAATTAAAATGATTAATCAATTACTATAGAACTGTTCTCTGCATTGAACAAAGATTTAATGGCCAATTTGCCATTAATATTGAATTTAATGAGTGCAAAATGTAGGCGGGAATCAAGAGTTAGCGTTCGTAGTTCTTTCATCCTATACTCGGCACTCAGGGACATTGAGCAAGGAGGGATCTTTTTCGTGCCAACACATAATGCGACATGGGACCTTGGGTTTATACGGTCTCATCTGAAGGACCGGTCTTCATGTCCAACAGTGAGATTCAAACCCGCAACATGAGGATTGTCTCCTTACTTCGCAACTCTAGAGCAGATGCTCTAACCACTGCACAATGCGGGCTACCCTGGATGGATGACAGCTGTAAACACCAGTTTTCTTCCAGTTCCATAAATGTTGACTTCTCTAAGCCACATCGTTTTCTACTGTGGTCAGTCCAAGGAGCTGGCAGAAATGGAATGCCTCACTCTATCTGGTCATCAAAACTTAGGGTCCTCATTTATATATATAAATTGAAAAATAGTTATAAATTTACATCTAAATCTCTTGTGGACCCATCGCTTCAGTGGCAATCACTACCCAGGATGTGATCAGATGTGATCCACGCAAGACAGTTCCATAGCTTTTGAAAAATCTGAAAAAGGATCTACTTATCCAATAACACATTAACTTTAATTAAAATTTGATACAATTGTGTTTTATTGATATATTTCATTATTTTATAATAGAAAAAATTCAATTATTTTGCACCGTTTTTAACCTTTTCTTTACAAGTTATCTGAAATTGTATTCAGTAATTTAGAAATATTCTATTTCATACAAGGAAGTCATTCAATATTACATACTTTAAAATACATACTCTGTTGAAGTAAGCCTTTGAGCAAAATAAGGTGCTGATAATTGAAACATGGTATTTTATAGAAAGTAATATTATTTTTTAATTTACAGATTATCACACAGACTAAGCTGCATGTTATTAATAGTGCAGGTTACGTAGAACCTGATTGACCTTTTCTTTAAAAATATACCTATGTGCCAATCAAATGCTATCTTTGAGTTTGAGCTTAGCATAAATTTCCAATATATTTTCAATTACACACATCATTCACCAAGAATTACTATTAAATTTAAATTTTGATATTTGAAGTCATTTTGCAAATAAGCACTTTCAAAAATTAATCATAGCATTAAGTGTAATTAAGGAATGTTTTAAGTTTTGTGAGAGTTCCAATTTACACAACAATAATTTGAGTTGTAACACGTCATTTGATTAGTTAAAAGATTTTATCCATTTTGTATAACATCAAAAAACGTATTACTCCTTTTGATGTTACTTTTAAAATATGCTATATTTGAAGCCTTTTTTCCGGAGGAAAAGTCTCATTGTCTACATTGAAAAAAATTATAAGGAATGAAGCTTTTTTCAACTTATGTTATATATGTTAAGCGATATAACCTTGAACAGTTTACGCTTATCTATAAACTGCTTTGTGGTTTATAAAGATTAAATTGTCCCAAGTTATGTTACATGTATATCGTATAACAAAAGTTGAAATAAGCTTCATTCCTTAAATAATTCACACAAAACTTAAAACCATTCTTTATAGTTTCATTTTACATGTTCGAGAGCACCAAAAATATACATATATTTGAATTTCTCACTGCCTTATATCATTATACTTTTACTAACGTCGCTGTTGTCTTATTGTGACATCACGTTACAAACGTTTCTTCGTGTATATTTCTATGCTTGAGTATACACGAAAACGGTATTCAAATAAAAAAAACACAGCAAATGTAAATATAACAATGAAAATAAGCAAACATTTCTTTTATCATTTAAATAAGCCATTAAATAAGATAAATGGTTCTTCCAAAACATCCATTTATGTGAATTATGTAACTACATGATTTACAATGCTCTTACCCAACTAACAAACTATCAGTCAGATGTTTCATGATTTTTCCAAAAGTAAAATGCACTCTTCAATTCCCCTTTGTATTCTTAATCCAAGATTTCCAATATTTAAATCAAATTCTCCAATTATTTATTTTTGTATCACACATCATGTTTTTCCACTAGCTTTATCAACAATTTTATTCTCAATCCAGAGTTGTCGTTCCCGCTTCTTTCCCTCATACACCTCTGTCAACGCTTGTTATACAAGATTCTTGGAAAAATTGTTTTGATTAAAAAAGTTGTATTATTAATAGTGTTTGATTATATTTCTTATCAGAAAACATTTATTTCAATTTGTTACACCTTGAAAAGGATTTTTTAATCAAGATTTTAATATTTACTCCACAAAATAGAACGCTAAAATCTTTGAAAATAAGTCGTTCTGAGTGATTAT